GGGGGGGGGGAGGGGGGGGGCACCGTAGCGTACGCATGAATGAAAGAAATGAATGGCGAGGCCGGTACGGGCGCAGCGCGGCGGGTTCGGTGATTATCGCTCCGGTGTGGTTTGGCAGCGCTGCGTCGATAGCGGAGCGACAACATACTCGTGCGGGGAAGTGCAGCCAGGGCGAGTGCGTATCCTGTCCTCATCACAAGCCTTACTGTCGAAACTTCCTCGCGTTGGTGGGCTCTGGCCCTAGCGCCATTCGATAACTGTATCTCTCCAGTGGACCTGGGGATGTGGATTCGTGCCGTGCCACCGCGCGAGTACATTCTTTCTTTCCCCCTTCCCCATCGCCGCCAGGCAACCTGGTCCTGGCGTTGACCATGTATGTCATGTAGCAGCACCGCTTCCCGACCTGACCTTGGCGCCCCCCTCGCGGCTCGCCACGACACGCCGGGCAAGCCTTGCCGACAGGTGGCTGGGCTGGAGTCTAGCTGGAGTGGTGCAGACTGCTCTACGGGCATGCCTTGCCTATAGCGAATGGGATGGCTCACATACTTGTGCCGGTCGATTTCGTCGGGGTTTTGCACCTAGTTCAATTCACACTGCACTCTTGCCAAGCAATCAGGATAAAATAATTCCACATTTCTTGAAATTCATGTGTTTGTTTGTTTTATTTTTATTTTGTTTACTCAGTCTCTTGTGGCTTTTGGCTGTCTGTACCCAAATGTAAAGTTACCGTTATGATGTTTCGGAGTTCAGATATTTTTAAGTTGAACCACAGCTCTGTCAAACATGGAAATGAGCTTGTTTGGAGCTTTCCACCGAAGTGACGACGGCACCAAAGTTTTAATGGTGGTTCTAGCATAATTTGCTAATTTTAAGATTTCTAGTGGTCTATTTTGTCAAGTCATTTCAGTGATATTGCTATCAAAGCTAGACTTTACTAAACTGAATTTTTTTTCCTCTATCTGTGCAGGATGTCGGTGCAGTGGGTTGTGGTTGTAACCTGCCTGCTGGCTTCAATCCTCTCCATCTCAGCTCAATCAGGGAGCCGACAGATTTCTGAGAAACTTGCTCAAAATCCTTGTAGCTCAAAGCAAACATGTCACGAATGTATTCAAACCTCAACGTGTGCTTGGTGTGCCCAGCCAGTGAGTAGTTTGCTACTTTCCTGTGAAACATGACTTTCAATTTTGCTCGTACTCAATCTAATTTGTATTTCAGGATTTTGGTGACCGAAAACGCTGCTTCCAGCCAAGTAATCAAGACTCCAATCGGCAATGCAATGAGGCCTACATGATCTTCCCTCAAAATGAATACACAGTTGAAAGAAATGAAGAGCTGTCAAAGGCTAGCAAAGGAAGTGGTTATATATCTGGATCCAGCTACCAGAGCTCAAGTCATCAAGAATCTGGCAGTGCATATGATGGTGGTTTTAAGGAAGCAGTTCAGGTTGCACCTCAACAAGTCAGCTTGAAACTGAGGATAAGTATGTTATATTATTGATATCCACACTCCAAAGTCTTACTATGAACTTGATTTTTCTCGTTTTATCAAAGATTTATCCTGCTTTTTCCAGATGAAAAATACCGATTGAATGTTAATTATGCCCAAGCTGAAGATTATCCTGTCGACCTTTACTATTTGATGGACTTGTCCAAGTCCATGGAAGACGACAAAGAAAAACTCTCATCGCTTGGTAACTTATTGGCCCAGGCTATGCAGAATATCACATCAAACTTCCGCCTTGGTTTTGGCAGTTTTGTTGATAAAACTGTCATGCCATACGTGAGCACTGTTCCAAAAAAGTAAGTGAGAGTCAAATGTGTTTGTTCTAAAAATATCTTTCTTTATTTTGCTCAATATTTTGGTTTTACCCTTTTACCCAAGAATGGTGTCAATATCCTTGCATGGATGAAAACCACTGCTTTGTTGACTTCCGAGAGAGCATGTGACATGGTTTACCCAAATGTTCTCAGACATTGTATTTGTAGCTCTTCTTGATATTTTGGACTAAGTATTTCAGTTTAGACATTTTAATATCTTAGCTTATTTCATTTCATCTCAATCAATTTTCCAGCCTGGATGGATCTAAGATCTTAAGATGTACCCTTTTTTTTGTTCTTTGTGGTACTTTGAAGTTTGCACCCTTTTTTAGTTTTTGGAGGTGTAGATCTCTGCACACTAGTGTCCATCATGTGTTATTAGATGCACTTTTGGGTTGGTACATTGCAGTTTGGTCGTAAAAGAAAATCTTTGTTGAGTTATGTTTGTTTCTTTGTTGTTTATTTTAGATAGGATGTCATATATATTACCAGTCTCTCTTTTGTTACAAATTTGGTTTGTCATCTCATTGATCATAACTTTAACCCACTTCATAAGCATTCCAAAATTAGGATAGAAGCTGCAGTGAAACAGATTACTTTTTCATAATTTTCAATCATTTTATTTCTTTTGGTTAGAAGAGAATGGCTTTTGATTGATTGGTTTGGTCCAAATTGGTTTGATCATTAATCTGATCCACTCCTTTACTAACCCAAATTTCCACACTAGACTTGCTCAGCCTTGTGACAACTGTCAGGCTCCTTATGGATTCCGCAACCACATGAAGCTGAACTCAAATACTCAAGATTTTTCAGTAAGTTATATTGACTTTCATATGTAAAGTCTGTGCTGGGTCTTGTGAATGCAGCATTTGTTGCCTGCAAAAGTGATTTAGAATCAAATTCTTCTTTCTCTGTTTACTTTTGGTGTTAGGAAAGACATGATCTCACAATTTCACCACATTCAATTTGAAAAATTTGTTAGGGCTATCAGGTTATTTATTATTGTTATTTCATTATTCATTTGAATCTAATGTAATTGTTATTTCATTATTCATTTGAATTTAGTATTATATTTTTAGGTCTTATTCAAAAACTTATTTGCCAGCCTCATAGGCCATTCCTCTTTAAAGAGGCTGGCAGATGAAGAGAATGTCTTTGTTTCCTATCTATCTTTCAAGTCTTGGCTGTCTGCATGAAGTGCTGCAACAAGTTTCTCTGGAAAAGCCAAGTTTTTCCACAAGTCACTAACCCTATATTTTCCTACCAGTTATTGGTCTATGCTTGGGGTTTGCATGCTGTGGAATTGAATGTAATGTCATGCAAGGAAGCTGGGGATATGTTATGTGATGTATTTGTTTCTTTTTTAAATGGAACTCTTTCCAGATGCTCGCTGTGCCTTTTGCTGTTGAAGCTCGTTTTGTGTTGTATCTTTGATGTTAAGCCCCTGGAATCATTGTTGCAATTCTTTTACTGTCTTAATGGTGATGTCTCTTACTCATTCTAGCTATTAGGTTGTTTACACTGGTTCTTATTAAGTTTTAGTTAAAAAGGGAAATGATATTTGAAACCACATGTACAACTCATAAACTATGTCTATTGTTCACCAGTTTGCGTGAACCATGTTCCGGTTGTGCTGCCCCATATGGTTTCCACAATGTTATGTCCCTCAACACAGACACCAGTAGATTTGCTGTAAGTGTGTAAGAGAAATTTAACCCTACATTCAAACAAGTTACTGAGTTACTGCTTTAGACCTGCCAAAAGAAGTACTGTTTACTTCTATATTAATACACTAGCACTACCATACTTTTATCTAATGATGTTGTGTTTCTTTAACACTGTTTGGTTTTGAAAAGAATTTGAGTCTGCTCCTCAACAGTCAATAGAATTTTAGGCCTCCCATATTAATCTGCTTTTGTAAATGCGTCTGTTTTCCAAGGTTTCTCCACAACTCTATTATTGCTGGTGGTCCTCCTACAATTTAGGAATGTACCAGCAGAAACAAATGTCAATGCTTATGACATAATACTCAAAACAGTTCAACCTAAGTTTTTTCTTCTTGTTTTGGCTCCTTTCATTCCTTATTTTTCCCTTATGACCACTATCACCATTTTTTTTATTTATCTTGTTGGGTGGGAAATTCTTCAGAATCCTCCTGTAGGCCTCTGCATGGAGTTGTTGCAAGCCATTTATTGCTTTTGTTGGTCTGGCACACTTCCCGCTATAATGTTTGGCTCTTTTTGTGTGGTTTCACTAACTTAGTTTGTGCATGATCTAAAAATATAGGTATTTCTTGCTTTCTAGTTTTGATTGTGCATGTTTTTTTTTTAAGTTACCTGACAACTGAATTTTATATGTGTGAAGTGAAGATATTTATTAATATTTCTCACAAATTTTCAGGAAGAGGTTAGAAATGCTGCTGTCTCTGGAAATCTTGATGCTCCTGAAGGTGGCTTTGATGCTATCATGCAAGCGGTAGTCTGCAGAGAACAGATAGGCTGGAGAGAAAAGGCCCGTCGTCTTCTTGTTTTCTCTACTGATGCAGGCTTTCACTATGCTGGCGATGGAAAAGTATGTTTGGATAAAATATTCCTCTGATTTTGATGCCCATTATTTTGTTTTTGTAAATAATAGCATTGACACAGATAACTAAACTTTTTAATTTATTTTTGATACCAGTTGGGTGGAATCGTGAAACCTAATGACGGACTTTGTCACATGGATACTCGTGGAATGTATACACATTCATCAATTCAGGACTACCCTAGTATTTCTCAAATAAACCTTCAAGTAAAGAGAAATGCTATCAATGTGATCTTTGCTGTGACTGCGGAACAAATTGCTGTTTACGATCGTCTACGCGAACATGTTGAAGGAGCGTCTGCTGGTACTTTATCAAATGATTCAGCCAATGTTGTTGAACTTGTTCGAGATCAGTATAATGTGAGTATTTCATATTAATGCTCAGTGTGATAGGGTATACATGTTTTGCTAGATTCGCTTACCTCTATAGCACGTGAAGCGTTAAAGGGTTCTACAAAAGATTGTCTCTTAAATTTCCAGAAAATATCCTCTTCTGTTGAGATGAAAGATAATGCAACCAGTGCTGTGAAAGTTACGTATTATTCTAGTTGCTTGGAAGATGGTGGTCCGCTCAAGCAAACAAATAAGTGTGATGGTCTCAAAGTTGGAACTCTTGTTAAATTTGCTGCTGACATTGAGGTATACCTAATGATACATGTCAAATTTTTGTACTGTATGGACAGATCAGATTCCTTTGAATCTATTGGAAAGGTATGGTATCAAATCTGTTTCCTCTTGTTTAGGTGACCAGCTGTCCAGCCAACCGAGATGAGTGGAAGCAAACATTCCAAATCTATCCTGTTGGTATCAATGAGTCCCTTGTCATTGATCTTGAAATGATTTGTGATTGTGCATGTGAGAATCCTGGAAATGTGGTAAGAACTATTTGAAAAATTGTCATAACAATAGGCGTACCTTTAAACTTTGGTCCTACTTTTCCTACAATCTTATACTGTTATTACAATGTTATTGAAGGGTTACATTGAGAATGCCAAGGAGTGCTCTGGCTTTGGCACTTACAAATGTGGAGTATGTGAATGTGATTCATCCCACTTTGGTCGCACCTGCGAATGTGATAGTGACAATACTCACTCAGACCGTGACCAAGCTGCTGGATGCCGTCCAGATAATACCACAACTGTCGACTGTTCAGGAAGAGGGTCTTGTGTGTGTGGAATGTGTGATTGTGAAACTAGACCAAATCCAGAGGAGGTAAATGAGCATAATTGACTTATTTATTAACATTTTACTTGTAGAAATGCAGGGGCCGTTACTTATTATTTTGTGTTTTCAGAAAATTTATGGCTCATTCTGTGAATGTGATAACTTCTCCTGTGATCGACAAGGTGGTCAATTGTGCTCTGGTGAAGACCACGGTAAATGTGAATGTGGCAAGTGCCAGTGCTTACCTGGCTGGACTGGTCTAGCTTGTGACTGCAAAGCTACAAATGAAACTTGTATTCCACCTAATGGAGGAGAAGTCTGCTCTGGTAAAGGTGAATGTGTTTGTGGAACTTGCAAATGTTTTGAAGGTGAAGAAGGACGATACTCTGGACGTTATTGTGAAAAGTGTCCTGTAAGTGATCTTTTCCTTGAAAAATTATCTATTTAAATTGTAAATATACTTTGCTTATCTAAGCTTAACTTTTTTTCACAGACTTGTCCTGGCCGCTGTTTGGAATTCAAAGAATGTGTTCAGTGCATGGTTTACAAGACAGGAAAACTGTCTGAGGAGGAGTGTGCTCGCAATTGTACCTTTGTTCCGCGCGTCATAGATGTTGTTGAAGGTATGTAGTCTCAGATTCCTTTCTCGTGGTTTTGTCTGATGTACTGTATTTTCCTTTTTACCATTTTTCTTGCAAACCATTATAGCCGATGAAGAAAAAGATGAAAACTTGTGTGCCTATTATGACGAAGATGACTGTAGATTTGCTTATGTCTACACATACGATGAGAATGGTAAGGTGGAGATTCGTGCCCAGCAAGAAAGAGAATGTCCTCCACAAGTTTACATTCCAGGTAACTAACTCTTTTGAGGCACTTGTTACTTTCATTTTTAATTCAAACGCAAGTTTAATACAATCAAGACTATGCATCTCCCTATTAGGTATTGTTCTGGGTGTCATTGGTGCCATAGTTCTTATTGGCTTGGCAATGTTACTTTTGTGGAAACTGCTCACCACCATTCATGATCGCAGAGAATTTGCAAAGTTTGAAAAAGAACGAAGTATGGCACGGTGGAATGCGGTAAGCGAACAGAGTGGTTTAGTAGTGTTCCTTGACAATATGTTTCATTTCTATAACAATTTTTTCATTGTATTTCTCTTACAGGGAGAGAACCCTATCTACAAACAAGCTACTTCAACTTTCAAAAATCCAACCTATGCTGGGAAATGAGCACTGAGACTTTCGTCCTATTATTTATTATTTTCAATCAGTACTGTTTGTGTAGAGATTCATTTGAGTTCCAAAACTCATTTGTGTCTGTAAGTCAACAACATGTCTGCCCATGAGGAGTGTTCACCTCCTATTAAATGTGATTGCTCGGCATTCCAGGGCTTCTGAGGTTTCTGCACTGTCTGGGAAAGTACAGTGCAAATAATCTAGTCCTATGCATTATCCTCTTGATGAGGAATCGGAATTATACTCTTACTCTTTGAAATGCATATATCTTGTGCATGTCTTATTCAAATGTTCAGATGGTTCAGATGCTATGTATTATGTTAAGTAGCCCTGGATTGTTTTGCATACAAAATGTGACACTGCCTCTATGGCCTCAGAGTTTGAAACAGTTTTGAAGATGTTATCTGATGTTTTTGTGCATTTTGAACTTAATTTCTTCCATGAAAAGGTACATGGGAACAAAGTTGGGACCTCCTTTTCATTTTTATAAATATGTGTACCATAGTAACGACATAAAAGGGTTAAATATTATTTCTTTAGATTTTTTTTCTATATTTCTGTTAGCTTAGTAGGAAATAGTTCAATTTAAATCCTTTCTCATCATATTATTACATATTTTGTATGATAAACATCTATTCAAATGTTTGTAACTTATTGAGTGATGAGAAAAAGTTGTTGTTAATTTAGAGTCACCTAATAGACTGGCAGTGCTTTGCACAAGTATTTCTTTAACTTTTTAATTTGTAAGAGAATCAATCTGACTAATTGTGATTAATATGTATGCTGTTTTACTGTTTTAATTTGACCTTGTATGTAATGTGTGCTAGGAATGAATGGTTAAATGTTTGAATGCAACTTTGTATGATGAATGAGTGAGTTCTGTGATTGTTTAAATGAGCGCCAAATTAATATTTGTGCCCATTTTGCTGTATTTAAATATTTATAGCCCAGCATGATTGAAGGAGTGTGGGGTTGTTTTCGTTTATAGAATGTTGGAGAATAGTCTATATTGGCTTAGCTGACTTGAATTTTACAATAAAAAGGTGATAACTGCAGTCATGTGAAATGCCTTTGCCATAAATATAATAGTTTCCTACTGACTTAATTGGAGATTGTATTATGTTAGTGTATCTGAAGTTATAGTGCATGAGCTGTAACCAAAATACTTTGCTTTTAGTTACTTCCCTTTTTCTATGTGTGATAAACTGCACATGCAGAGGTGAACAATTTCTAACAAAGAATTTTCTTTATGCGTGTGTCAAACTACTTCATTAATTACTTGTAGAAAAAGTGTTACTGTCATTGACCTTGAGCTTCCACCAATGACTGCCCATGTGGGTTTATGTCAAGGACTAAGCTTCTGTTCCATTTCAGTTGATATGAGTGCTTCACTTAAAAACTGGAGACTGGTGCTGTAGTACTTATTGCTTTACTTTAATTTATACATACTCATATATCTGTATCTTAAGCTTTGAGCCTCAGTGGAAAAACCCAACAAAAAAACTATCAGTTGAATCTATTGGATCATTTTGATAACAGGGTATAAGTAGATGATCCTAACTTTTTTGTAATATTTCTAATTACAACTGGCCAAGGAGGATGTTGTGTAAGGACTGTCTTCCAATTTTCATGCTTTTAACACTGCCACAAGAAAATTGTTTTTTCCCTCTCCTCTAGAAATTAGTGTTTTTTATTTAATTGTCTAGGGTATTTTAAAGTGACCTCATTAATGGTATTTTGTGCCCTATGGTCACCATCTCATGCTTCAAATTTTTCCTGTTGAGTATCAGATTTCTGTGCCTTTATATTGTTGGCCTTGTGTTTGGTGGTGCTAAATGTTGATGTTGGGATCAGTAAACCCAGCCTACAATGCCATTTTAAAATTATATGCATCTGTTTTTCGAATGTATTTTGTTATTAACATATATTTTCAATGTAATCCTAACAAGAATCTGCATTCAGTCAATCATAATCATTTTCTAAACATGCTCCATACCATTTTCTTAGCCCATTTCGTCCATGTTTTCTCACCCTAATCAATGTATTCCTGTTCTTCCTCAAAGTAAAATGTTTCATATATTTGAGAGGTAAGAACATGGATGTGTAATATTTTTGCCATAAATAAATTTGAACGATTCTGTAAATAGTGTTCACGTTTCCTTTAAATTGAGTATCCTCGTTCTCTGAAATTAAGGCTCAACGACGTACCTGAGCTCGCAAAGCAATTGTAGGAGGCGTCGTTGACGTAGGCACCCGACCCGCTCGCTAAAGGTGCGGGCTGGCTGACGTGCCATCTCCACCAGGCTGGTAGGCAGGCTTGGCCAAGCAGCCAGGCAGGCAGTGTGGACCGCCGTGCGGGTAGGCCGCCAACTGTCACCAGTGTAGCGCGCACAGGTCTATGCGCCACCAGGCAGGCGGCGTGAACCGCCGTGCGGGTAGGCCGCCAACTGTCACCCGTGTACCGCGGGTCGGCCTATGCGCCACCAGGCAG